TCCTAAATTATCTGATATCGGAAATGACCAGCCATTTAAAGGGGTGTTTTCGAGCCCTTTCCGGATCGGGGAATTTCTTACAAAAGACCGTTGCAAAGAGGCTGCGCCAGGTGTTCCGGACGGAAGATTCGGCCATTAGCGACTGGATTAAGTCGAAGATTTGTCGTACACATGGTAATGGAGTAAGAACCCCGGTAAATCGGAGATTTCTAGGGGATTTTGGAGTGATTTTAGAGGTTTTGGGGGGATTTTTGATGATTTTTGGTGATTTTCTTGGGAAAGTTAGAGTTTACTGTCTGGCAATTGATAGAGGTAGTAAATTTGAGGCTTGAAGAGGATGTAGCTGTAATTTTACATTGTTGAAATTAGAAAAAGTTACAATCTTTGGATATTTGAGGCAACTTTTGCCAAATCTTTGGGATTTTGGATATTTTCGGCAAATAAAGTATTAAACTGATGGGCTACTGCACCATTTATGATAAATCAAGCATTGATACGAGTTTGGGAAGCCTTACATAGCCATATAACATCATGATTTTTATTGAAATTTTGATTTCTTTGGTCAATGTGGATAAAGTAATATTTTGGCCATAACGGCCACAAAAGTGCACAGAATTTTATAAGACCTTGTCAGCATGACAACTAATCTATCTTAACGTATCACTGAAGTTTTGAAGTCGCATTATGCAGAGACATCTGAGTTATGAGACTTTTAATATTTCCGAGTCATCATTTTCCCCAAATTTTGGTGGTTTTGTTAAAACGTTACTAATTTTTGGCAAAATTCTCGGCCATAGACACCCTCAGGGCTTTTAAAATTTCATCACCTTCAGAAGGTAGTCTCACAATCAAATTTCCACCTCAAAATTTCCGAGATTTTCCCCCATTTTCCCCCTGTTTTCATTAAAAAACCGCGGGCTTAATTAGCGGCGGCCTTGTTTCGGACCGTTGCGAAAATGGTGTCACAACAAATGGGATTTTCTGTTGTTTTTTCGCCCTTCAACACCTTGAAGAATCGCATGAGAAATGGGAATTAGCGGGATTTCCGACGCTCTGTAGATTTTTTGATTTTTCGCACCGTGCAATGGGAAATTGAGGGCCTTTACGGCTGCACTGTGCAAATTTTCAGGTCTTTTCTCGCACTGTGCAATCGATTTCTCGCAAAACTTTGTTTTGCACTGTGCAAAAATAAAGTTTTTTCATCGCACCGTGCAATTTAGAAAAAAAAAAAATTTTTGCACAGTGCAATGGGAAACTGACGATTTTTCGACTGCACCGTGCAAATTTTTAAGTCCCTTTCCCGCACTGTGCAATCGATTTCTCTGAAAATTTTGGTTTGCACCGTGCAAAAATAAAGTTTTGTCACCGCACTGTGCAATCTTTCAAAAAAAGGGTTTGAAAAATTTTGCACAGTGCAAATCACCCCGCAATCCCAATGCAATGTCGCAGAATCTTTCAAAATTTTCCTTCTGCACAGTGCAATCCACAATTCAAAATTTTCCGCACAGTGCAGGCCTCCACTTTTCGATTGTCGCCACTGCACAGTGCGCTCACTCGCACTTGTCGCAATCGACATTTCCGGTGATGAGAGTCGGAAATCGCTGCGGCTCTTTGTCGCGCGTCTCATGTCGCATCCGATTCGGGCTCTCATCGCCCATTCACGACGAACAGATTGCGATTGTTCGGCCGCACAGTGCGGTGGCTTTTGAAGTCGCGCGGAAGCTGATTGCACCGTGCGATCGGAATTCTTGAAAAGAAACCGGGGTGATTGCACAGTGCAAAAAATTTTCTTGGAGCAAAGAAAGTTTTTTGCACTGTGCGGATTGCTTTTTGCCCTAAAAAAGTGTCTGCACGGTGCGAAAAACAAAAAATCTCATTTTTAGCTTGTTAAAAATCAAAATTAGGAAAATTAAAAATTGAAAAATGCAATCGAACGCCTGCACAGTGCATATGGCCTTCGTATGGGATTTTGTTTGCAAATCATCGGTTTTTTGAGTTTTCAAGAGTCCGCGACGGCATAAGAGAAGGTCATTTGATGGCACTTTTTTTGTCGAAGGATCCATTGTTCTTCGACGAATATTCCCTAAAGGGATTACTTCGATTTCCCTAGTTTTAAGGGGAAATTTTGAAAAAAGTTGATTTCGCACGGTGCGGAAAAATATTTTTCTTTTCGCACCGTGCAATTTCTAATTTCCGCCATTCTGCACTGTGCAGTTTTTAAAAATTTGATTTTGCACGGTGCGGTCCACAAAATGCACAGTGCAAAATTCAAAGCTTTATTTTGCACAGTGCAATTTCCAATTACCCTCCTTTCTGCCCTGTGCAACTTCAAAACTTGTTTTTCGCACGGTGCGGCTCTTAAAAATCGCACGGTGCAAAATCCAAAACTTACTTTGCACAGTGCAATCACCCTTTTTCACCCATCGCACAGTGCACTCCCTTCATATTCCTTTGCACAGTGCAATTTCCAACTCCCTTCATTCTGCACTGTGCAATTTCAAATTCCATTTTTTCGCACGGTGCGACTCCAAAAAATCGCACGGTGCAAAATCCAAAACTTATTTTGCACAGTGCAATCACCCTTTCTCACCCACCGCACTGTGCATTAACTTTATTTTTCCTTTGCACAGTGCAATTCCAATTCTTTTCAATGGCCATTAAAAGTGGGCGGAGCCAAGCGAGATTTTCATTTCTTTTGCCAAAGATAGGCCAATTTGCGCACGAGCAATTGGCGGGTGGGGTGCATTTGTTTGATTAAGCGGGGATTTGTTGCGTTTTGCGGTTTTGGGGAGGGTCTGGCTATCAAATTATATTGTAGTAGACATCAGATGGATAAGATCGGCTGAAACCATGTTTTTTGGATTTTTTTTGGGAAACTTTCAATTTTTTAGGAAATCTGAGGCAATTTCTAGCCTTGAGGATGCATTTCCAGACAAAAAATTCAATAATTTTTCGAAAAATCTCTAAATTTTTTTTTCTCAAAAATTAAGTTTTTTCAACAAGACTATCATTCTCTGCGTGTTTCAACACTCCCGACCCTCCTCATCCATCATCATCAAATATTTACCGTCCCCAAATATCCGCGTAAATCTTCCGGCCGCCCTCAGGCGCTAAGAGGGAAGTGCAAATTGCCGGCGGCTCTTTTCGTTTTTCGCGCACACATTTTTCCGAATTTCAAATGTCTCATTAATTACTCGAGGGGTGGAGGAGGAGGACGGGTCGAGTGTTTCGGGATTTGTTTTCACACAAAGTTTCCCTACTTAAGGTCGCGATCGCACCTTATGTCCACTCGTTAAAAGCTGAGCGGTCTTAAATGCCCTCCGGCACGCGACAAGTTTTTTGCATCGCACATCCTCCAGCGGGCTATTTTTGAGACATTTTGCAGGGTTTTATGCACAGTGCGACGTTTTTTATGGACTGCACCGTGCGGGGAATACATTTTTTATTGCCTGAGGGAGGAAGGGGGATGGCAAGAAAAAATTTGGATTTTATTGCAACTGTTGGACCATAAGCGACAAATTAATATCAAAAATCTGTTGCTACTGCTTCAGCGACGTCAGAAATTTGACGATAAAAAAATACTGCACAGTGCAATATTTTTTTTTTAATTTTCAAAGGCGGCAAAAGTTTTTCCAGCAAAAAATAGGTCATCATATATGCCGTAGAGACCTAATGGATGCACTACAATCAAAAATTTTCGATTCGCGACGCCTCGCGACGGCCAATTCAAATGTCAAAAATCATTGCACAGTGCGCCGATTTGTCCCCATGATAACTGTCGCAAAACCCGATTCCCGTGGGTGCGTAACCTTTTACCCACTCCACGACGGCCCCCCACTCAAACGCCATCAAAACTCTGGCCATCCGGAAATTTGAATACGACCCACTTCAAGACGGGCATGCACCGTGCGGCCCCAAATTTGAAACCCGAAGAAAACCCATTTGCGGCCAAGATTTATCGCGTCTCAAAGTTTGAGCGTGTGCATTGGGATGCGTCAGATGTGCAATGAGACCCTGAGGGCATGGGAATTTGAAAAAATTGAGCTGCACGGTGCGAAAGTTTCGGATCGCACGGTGTGGAGATTTTAAATATAAGAATTGAATTTTTAGCGCCGCAATGGTCGGTAAAAAATTTTTCTTATGGTAGAAAAATCTTTCTTACTGTACTCTTCAAATACCATATGTCCTAAGGCAATTTCTTTGAATTTTCCGATATTACTTTAGGTCTAGTGTAACATACGGTCCAAAAGCAAAGAGAATGCCTCTCCAAACATCGGATAGTGTTTGAAATTTGCACCGACTGTCAGAGTCGATTAGCCGAAACAATCAAAATTCGGAAATCGCGCCCTGAGGTCATTTGAGTCGGGATTTTTTCGCTAATCCCTCAAATCTCTCGCCTTATTAAGCACGCTATTTGACGAAAATTTCGGTATTCGACCTTGGAATTCCTTTCATTTCGTTTTTTGAGTCATTTGGACAATGTTTTGCATTTTGCGGATAACTCGGCAAATAATTTGGACCAAAGCCAGGGCGCAGCTTGAGAAGTGGAATTTCCAAATTTATGTTGTTTTTGCAAAATTTTGAAAGAAATCCTGCAGAAACCTTGTTGTTTATGATCAGTTTTGGCTATCTGTTCGTGTGTTCCAGCATTTCTTATCAGTTTTTTTGCGGCAGAACTGTTTTTAATATCAAAATTTAGCTGATTTTTTAGTGTTTTCCTTTTCCGAGATGCTTTAAATAACCTATACTGGGCTTAGAAAGCCTGTTTCACAATATTAGAACCTGTACTAGTCATTAAAATCGATTTTGACTTCTTTAGGAAACTTTTTTATATTATCCATGGGGCCTTTGGGAAATGTGTCAAATTCCGATGTTACCTTATTTTTTATTTCTCGCAATTATTTTCGGAAGTCTAAACACGGCGTATTTTACCTTTTCTGAACTTTTGCGCGATGTTACATCTTTATTTTTATCAAGTTTTACCTGATCTTGTTTTAGGTATGCTCTGGCCAATAATCGGCCTTCTTTTCGCACTCCAATTGCACGCGCAGTCGCCTCGTCCAGTCGGTAAGTGAGACAGTGTTGTGTTTTTTCGATTTTTTGTGTTTTTAGTTAATTTAGGCCATTAAAATATATTATTTCAAGGGTCAGAGAAAATCCTCTGATTTTTGATGTTTGACGTCGAAAATTGAAGAAATTTGATGTTTTCTTGAGAGATTAGGTTGTGAAATTGCAATAGTAAAGTGTTGAGGACTGTTTTCTTGCTGTGACTGTGGTTTTTAACCGACAAAAATTCTGAAATTTGAGATTTTCTGATGCAACACCTAAATTATTGCCCAAATCTCCAAAAAAAGTTCAATTTTGACCCTTCCGAAGCTCCAAATCCTGGCCAAAGAAAGTTCGGACCTCCCTTGACCCCACACGCTCAATTATCGGCCATTACGGTACATGAACATGTCGATTAATCCGCGCGAAAAGCCCGTTTAATAGCATGTTATTCTTCCCTTCTTTGGCGCATCTGTTGCATCTTTTTTCGCGCATCCAGCTGAGCCCTAAAAATGTTTCGTTTGTGTTTCTAAAAACAATTGGCCCCAAATTGAATTGCGCGCCCATTTAGGGCCACAAAAGTTGGGATCGTAAATCCGTCAGCTGATGGAGATAAACGGCCCCGAAATCCGAGAGATTCGGCCTTGAATCGGGAGAAGTTTTGAGGAACAATGAAAGAGGGGACATAATGGGGTACTGTAACCTTAATTTCGGAGAGTTTGAAGTTAGAAAATGAGCGGGTTTGGCTAGTATAATATAATTTCACCTACTACAATATAATTTTTTGTTTAAAAATGCGAAAATTTTGATGGGAGTTTGATCATTCGCCTGATTATGATTCAAAAATATGGTTTTTATCATTGTAAAATACGATTTTGGGGGGATTTTCTGTCCAAATTTATAAAGTCCCATTAAAATTGAGACAAATTTCCCGAATTGAAGGACCCTTCTTTCTAATTCATCCAAAACAAACACAAGCCCGCCGAGATCCGACCATTTATCCTCTCAAATCTAATTCGCTTTGTTTTCCCATCCAAGGTCATCAGATGTTTTAAGAAATTAGGGGCGAATTCGGTCAGAAATAGCCATCAAACTAAGTAGAAATTAAAATCAGTAGATGTAGTTCATTTTTTGAGCGATTGGATTGACTTTGCCATCAAAATATTGTATTGAAACAGAATGCCAAAAATGGCGGGAAAATTTATATTCAAAAATAACTTAAAAAATCTCAAAATTACAACAAGCAAATTTCAGAACCCCGCCAATCATGTCGAGATCACTTCCTGAGCGGTCAAACCGGCACCAAGGTTCTCCCGTTATTGGCTGGCAAAGAGGTTTACAATGTGGAATGTGAGATGCCGAGTGATCCCGAATCCCTGCTGCCGGTCGGACTTTCGGTCAGAAACGCCCTGGAACGATGGACTCGGTTGGATTCGGAGCCAAAAACTGTTGGATATCAGTAAGTTTAGAAGGAAATATAGTGAGGGGAAGACTTGACACATTTGGGTCAAGTGTTATATTATGAATGAGATTGGTTTGGTTTTGCCTTGAAATGGGTGTGACTTATTTAAAATAGTATATTGGCTCCAATGGGAGAGTTATATACAATCTTGGAGGATCAAACAAAGATTGAAAAATGGATATTGTAATCTACTCTACTGTAATATGCAGAGTAGCTCAAGTGTTCTCCTAGTCAATCTATAGGTGGAATGGGGAATAAAATGGGCATAATTAATATAGTTGAGCTAATTGTCGACCCCCTATATGCTTCAGGCCGTGTTTACAACCTCAAGGTAACAGTTGATCAACTGAGTCAACTGTTTCTCTCAGTCAACAAACTTGAAATTTACAGTGTAAAACTGATGTCAGGAACAATGCAAAGCCTTAGAGTGTTTGTTTTTGCATTTCGCTTTCGGAAATTCGCATTTTTCCCCGATGTCCTTGAGAATTTGCGATTTCGATTATTTCTTTCTTTTTTGTTTTTATCCCCTCCGCACTCCTTATAAGGATCATAAAACCGGATCATAGGCATTTTATTGGATCGCTCTTCCCTTTGTGCGGGCCCGAAAAACGAAATCCGAAGATCAAATAAAATAACGGATCAAAATAATGGCGATAAGCGTGCATAAACAAATAAGCGATTAGTTTACAAAAAGTGTAAAATAAGAGGATTATAACGAATTGCGCAATCAGAAAATGGCAAAAATAGATCTGGCAAAGTTTTGGAGTGATTTATAAAGAAAACATTTGAATTTTTGGTTTCCCGCGAAGTTTGGCATTGTGTTCTAGGTGGGTAAAACAAACCAGATGTTATAGTAAATGAGTTTATTATATCTGTAGGCCATCTTTGACAATTTTTGACAATAAAAATTCAAATTTTAATTTTCCCGCCAACTTTGGCATTGTGTTCTAGACTGCTGAAATGACCAGAAATAAAGTGGATTTTGTAAATAGAGTAATTTTAAATGCTTCTGGATGGTTTAAATATAAATTTTGCATTTTAGGATCAAGAGTTGGGCCTTTCTTCGATGGACTATGGCCGAAGCCGATACTTGCTTCCAAGAGCTCTCCGTCAGCTGGATTCCTGATCTTGCATCGGATAGAATGTAAGAATAATCATTTTACTACAGTTTGGAACATCTTAGCTATCAAGATTTAAAAGATTTGACACAAATTTATATTGTTTTAGGATCGAATTCACCGTCGAATCGATTCGTGGAAAATCGCGGACATTCCATTTCAATTCCAGCAAAACTAGTAAGTAAAAGCCCCAAAAAGTAGTACTCTTGCAGCTGTCGAAGAGGTCTTCGTCTTGGAGAACGAGTACGCCGGAGTTTTACACATTTTCCCACCGGAAAACATGGGAAATATGAGCATTGAGCTGAAAACCACGGCCCTCAGATGTCGCCAATCGGTGGTTCCGAACGCGAAATGCTTGTTCGAACTGAATTCGAGGTCCGACCGAATCGGAATCGACATCACCGACGATCATCATTGGGTTTCCTTTTCGTTCCGAACGGATATCCCATCCACGCCGTTCTTGACCCTGAGGGGAGGAGATGGCCCGGTTCGTGTGGATATTATTGAAGGTGAGGAGAGTTTGGGTTTATCGTGAGATTGGGAGAAATTTGGAGAAAAATGGGTGATTTTGAGCGAAAGGGACATTTTATACGATGAAAGTTTTTTTTTGAATTAACGGTTTCAAAATAGGTGAATTGGAGTAAATAGAATGTATGGAGGTCGCAGAAGAGTCTTGTAAAATAATCTCGACGTAAAAATCACATTATTGAACGAAAGCGACATTTTATACGATGAAAGTTTTTTGAATTAACGGTTTGAAAGTTGGTGAATTGGAATAAATAGTATGTATCGAGGTCTTACAGGAGCATTGTAAAACAATCTCGACGAAAAAATCACAGTTTTTAACGAAGGCGACATTTTATACGATGAAAAATTTTGAACGTATAAAATGGTTCCTGATTAAAAAATCGAATAGTTTTGGAAGGAGGGTATTATTTTGAGCGTTTAAAAATTTTAAGGTGACATCTTATACGATGAATTTTTTTTGTATTTTTTTCGTTTTTTTTTCTAATTCTGTCAATTTTTAGGTTACCTAATCTCCGTCAGTCAATACGTCAGTCCGATGAAGCTCCTCTCGGACGGACACTGGCACACCGCAGCCGTTGACGTCCGAAACCTGGTCCTTTTCATCGATGGGCGCCAAAATACGGGCATTTCTTTGGCCAGTCGCGGCAGAGCCAACAAAATCGATTCGATGGACATTGTCCTCAACGGCTCTGTGACCGGGATCAATTTCAACGGAGGCGCCTGGGAATGCGACGGCTCGATCAGCCTCCAGGTTTATCGGACCCAGCATATTCTTCGCAAAATCTGCCCCAAATACGAAGCCAGCTACTGCCAGTGCAAGGCCCCGAACTCGGCGTTAATGCCCGCACTGAACCGCTCAATTGCCAAGTGTAGCCCACCAGATTCGAGGAAGGCGTACACACTGAATCGGAACTCAACGCATCTGGCTTTCTTCTACTACCCACAGTTCAGAGGACCACAAACCGTCTCGGTGGTCTTCAAAAGTGATTCGGTAAGGAGTGAGGGAGTGAGAATGATTTTTTGGATCGTTTTGAGGGTGTGGTAGAGGTTAGGTTTGGGTTTGTGAGAGTTTGGATAATTCGGTTTGGGTCTCGCAGCGAAAGATTGAAAATAATTGAAATGGGGCGGAAAGAAGGGGAATTCGATAGTATATGAGCTTTCCAAAGTTTTTGAATGCCTGTGGCTAATTTCGCAACGTTTGAGCCATGAAAATGACAATTTGGGGTCCCACCACGAAAACCTGAAAAGTCCAAATTTGCTCGTTTTTGATGGAATATGAAATGTAAATGAAGAAAATAGACTTTTTTCATCAATTTAAAAATTTTCAGGACCTTGGCCTTGTGCTCCTTGGCCAACACAAAGAGCTGGGCTCCTCGTCCTCGAAACAACGCTACCAAGTCTACTACGAAAGAGACACAATGACCGCAGTTTCCTGCCTGATCGAAGCGAATCAGCAGTTTGTGTGCCGAGCCTGCTCCATCAAGCGTTCCGGCGGTTACGGTAGAAACGAGTGGATCCGCGTTTCCCTGTTTTATAACCAAAAGAATTATCAGTACTTGACGGTCGACGAACAGATCTGCAAATTGTCCCCGAACGAGAAGGCGTTCAGCCTGAACGATATCTATAACATGAACCAATTGGTGAATGACGTTCTTTTCATTGGTGGATCATACTACAAAAAGGCCAGAGGAACGGCCAGAGTCAAGGACGATTTCAAAAACAAATTCTTCGAGAACACCCTGGAAAAACCCCCATCATTGAAGGGATGCATTGCGGAGATCAGAGTCGGCGGAGAGATTTTGGACATGGAGAAGGTGCTCCGAGAACAAAATGAAGCCATTTTGGTGGATTCGGAACGACCAGTCTTTGCTATTGAGGTAAGAAAAGACGCGGGTTGGATTTTAGAAGGTGTAGATGAAGCATTTGATGGTGTTGGAGGTATTTTAAAGGGTTGAAATTTGATTTACTGTCGATTCTGAGAAGTAGAAAAAATATGAAAATTTGTGGGTTTTTTGTAGGCTTTTTTGAAATGGAAAATATCCATAAATTTTTGAAAAATTTTTTAGTAAAAATTTTTATTTCTCTAGGAGTGGTAAATAGGAATTTCAACTTTATATTGCATTAAAGTAACCTAAAGTATGTTTAGAGACTAAAGAAAGTGAGTTTTTGTAAAATACGCCGATCTTAAAAAAGTTGGAAAAAAAGGAAAATTTTGTAGGCTTTTTTGAACTAGAAAATATCCATAAATTTTCGTCAAAAATACTTTGAGAAAATTTGATGCCCTGAGGCCGAAAAAAAATTAAAAGTTGGCTGTATATCATCAAATTTTCAGCAAGGATGCCTCGACTGCACTGAACTCGAAGATCTTTGCCGTGGTGCACCATGCCGCGCCGTCTCGCCCTTCCAGCCGAAAACCCCGGTTTGCGATTGTGCCAAGGATTTCGCAGTCCGCTCCCAGATGGACGGATCCTGCCTTCAGCAGGAGAAGGACAAATACAAACCCACGGCCTTGAAGCTTACGGATTCCGAAGCGTTGACCATCGAACAGAGCCTCGGATTTGTGAAGCAGAGTTTTGTCGATAAAATCTGGGGATTATTGAGATTCCCGGAGACGGAGAGTGATCTGGCACCTATCATCAGCTTTGGAGAGTAAGGATTTGGGGTCTGGACGGATTTTGGGAAAGTGACATTTTATACGATGGAGAATTTTTCATCGTATAAAATGCCGGCTTGGGCGAAGAATTGCTAATATTTTTCTTTAGTGACTAGGTTGAGTGGTGGATTAATTCTTTTTGATGTTTTGGAAGTGCGACATGTTATACGATGAAATATGATTCGGACATATTTCATCGTATAAAATGGTCAGAGTTGTGTGAAACTTCAGAAAGTTGTCTGTAAACTGATTAATATGATATTGAAATGTAAATTTTTCAATAATTGGACAGTGACGTCTTATACGATTAAATAGGTTTTGGACATGTTTCATCGTATAAAATGGCCATGCTTTTCTGATTTTTAGTTTTTATGGTCTTATATTCAATTTTCAGGATCCAGATCCTCGTCGCGGACTACGGTCGTCGCGTTGTCGTCGAAATTGGCGGAATCCGCGAAGAATTTTCGGTGAAACACCGCGATGAACGTCTGCATTTGGTCAGCATCGAGCGAAATCCCACCATGTCGGCCTCTAGAGTCGAGCGAACCCTGACGATCCGCCTGGACGGCGATAAACGAGAGGTTCGAATTCCCAGAATCCCGATTCATGCCGGAAGTATTCTTCAAATTACGCCGGTCCCAACGACGAACAAAGGCTTTGGAGGATGTCTAAATGGTAGGTTGTAGGGAGATTAGGAAATTTTATGAATTTTGGGGATTTTTGAGGAGGAGGAGAAAATGTCATTATGACGGATTTTTTGGAGGTTTTACAAATTTTTCGATTTTTTAAAAATGGTAAAAAGCTTGTAGATTATTGCAATTTTTGGGTAAAATACGTTTCTTGCTGCCTTTTCAGGCCTATCCATGTCCTTTGATTACGACGAAGACACCATGATCAGCTCCAGATACAACCTCGAAGATGAACATCAACACGAACTTTTGGCCAATATAATCAACAAACCAGTGATCGCACCGAACGTCTCGAAACTCCTCATGTTCGGAGACTCATGTGGAATCCGAGACCCATCGGTTTGGAACGATAACAGCACCAGTTTGGGCCTGGTCGGAAGCTATGACCCGGACGGCACAAGTCAGACCTTTAACGATGAGAAAACATCCCTGATCAGTTTGATTGTGACGATCTTGTTGATCTTGGTGGTACTATTTTTGATCCTGGGCTACTGCTACAAACGAGGAAGACGTCATGTTTACAAAACAACGACTACAAGCGGATATACACCAGGTGAGTAGTGGAATATTTAAAAAATGATTTTTTTTGGGTATTTAAAGGTCTCAAAAAGAATTTTTGTGGTTGCAAAAGCGGCTTTGGGCCACCACATATCGTATTTTACCCTTTTTTGGTCAGAAAATCGTTATGAAACAGAATGCCAAGGATTTGAAAATTTTGGCGGGAAAATTGAAATTTGAATTTTTGACATCAAAATTGATTGCAAAAGCGGCTTTGAGCCACCACATATCGTATTTTACCCTTTTTTGGCGAGAAAATCGTTCTGTAACAGAATGCCAAAGATTTGAAAATTTTGGCGGGAAAATTGGAATTTGAATTTTTGAGATCAAAATTGATGGGATTCGTATTTTAGCTGATGAGAAACTCCTCATGAACGGCGATAATTACACGGACGGCACCTCAAACGGCTCACCTCCACCAAAAATTCGCCCGGACTTTGGAGATTTGAGCCCAACTACCCCGTCCAGGCCGCTGATTATCCCCGGAAAACCAGTTATAATTGAGGAAAAGGTAAGGTGATGAGACTTGAAAATGATTTTACTGTGATTTGAGAGGATTTTGATAGAATTTTTTGGAAGATTTCTGATGTTATCCGTGGTGATTGATGTCGCACTTGAATTTTTGATCCAAAATTAATTTTCAGAATGATGATTACCCCTCAAATCGAATCACCAGACCTGTTGCGGTCCGTCGAATCCCCCCAACGGACTCACCATCCCCTCCGACATCCACAAAAGCCCCAATTGCAAACTCGGAAGACGTCTAGATGGGATACTGTAGCTGTTGAAACGGGTCCAAATTTCACATTGCCACCGGCATTATTTACTTCAGCTTTGTTAATCGAACTTTGCCATTGCTCTGGCAACATTTTTACATCGAAATTTTGAAGATTTGGACATTCTCAGGTTTTCGTGTCGAGACCCAAAATTTCGAAATTTTTTCGAATTTTTTGTTTTTTTGTTTAATTCCAAAATGAAAATGTTGATAGAGTAATGGCTGCTGTTTTTGTCGATTTTTTTATCCTCTTTTCACTTTATTTTTTTGTATTTCGTATCTTCTCACGCATTTCCCCTCAAATAAGCCCAAAATTTTTCCTCCAAGGACAAATGAGGCGGCTTTTTTGCTCCATATGTACACTATTGTCAAACCGGTATCTCCAAATCGCCAAATATTTCTCGAATTACAATTCTTACTCCCAGATTTTTTTTGTTTTCTTGCAAATTTTTTCATTTATTTTTATTTATGCGAAATACCTTGGAATTTGTAATAAAATTGTGTTTTTTTCTAGAAAGGATTTGGTAAAAGTTGTCGTTCTTTTAGTATCTGATCGATGGAATTGTAAGGTAGGGGCAGAGAGAGCCTTTTTTGGTCGAGGGACATTTTATACGGTGAAATATGTTCGGACATGTTTCGTCGTATAAAATGGTTCAATCATGAAGAAATTTTTAATTGGGATGGAATAAAGACTTTTGACGTCTGTAGTAAGCAAATTTTCTATAAATATTATATGGGTGACAGTTTATACGACAGAAAATGTTTTTGACATGTTTAGTCGTATAACATGGTCAAATGTTATGGAGGTCTTGTAGAGAATGCTAAAAGTTTTTCGTTTATGATTTCAGACATTTTTAACGTTTATTTCTTCAAATTACAAGCAAAAAAAAATGGCTAAATATCCGAATAATTAAAAATCCACAAAGTAAACTGACAAAGAAAGAATGGAGCAAGATTTAACAAGATTCGAAAAACAATACGGCTGATCTAGTAGTTAAATTCACGGAAATACTCTCCAAACGGCACTTTACTCGGGGAAAACTTGAAAAGCGCACTGTGCGGCCGAAAAATTGAATTTGATCTAGCGGAAAATTTGATCTCTACTGTAATGTAAAAGCTGCCTAGTGCTGTTGATCAGATCATAGTCTACTTAGTACTTCCAAAGTTTGCCGAAAAAATCGACCGGGTGATCCAAAAATGGGGCTCAATTTTTGGCCTTGCACAGTGCAGTAAAACTAAAAATACGCCGTTTTGATAGAAAAAGAAACGAATTTCGAGTATTAAAATTTAATTACTTGTAAAAACACAATCCGAAGTTATACAATAAAATATATTTAAAATAATTAAAAAAGAAAAAAAAGCCGACGAGAAACGCGGGGATTTAGTGTTGGGGGGAGGGAAGAGAAAGAAAACAGAGAAAAGAGAGAACGTCTGGTGGTGAGAGAGAGGGCAGAGAGAGAGAGAAACAGAGGAAATCGAATACGAAGAAAAGTAATACTCTCAGTTTTGGGAGGGGGAGGAGAAAAATACAGGCTGACTTCTTAAAGCTGTGATTCTTTTCGGACTAGATGACTATGTTCAATATTTTTAAAACCTTGGAGCTATGTGGACAAGCGGGACTTCAAACAGAGAGAGAGAGGGAGGGAGGGAGGGACAAGTGACCTTAATATGACGTAAATTTGCATAAATGTCGACCTAATTTTTTTTTACCGTTCGAGACCTAAATTAGGCGGTTGAGGGCAAGATTTCCAAGAGAAAAATGGGGAGCGAATCGAAACCATGTTCCGAAAAATGGACAAAACGGCCGCTACGTTGACGGGCTGGGGTTTTGGCGTCAAAGACAACTAGACCACTAGGGGCGCGGAGGGGAAGGGGTGGGCGGTGCCGCTGCTGGCGCCCCCGACTAGACCAATAACAGACTAAATTACACAGGCAAATGCTCAAAAAACGGGTTTCGGGCAATGCCCGGCGGGACACCTTTCGTCGTATAACTTGTCCACAACTGCGGGCGCTGAGAACGCGCTGGGAGGACTGAGGAGTAGAGGGCGGGGGTGAAAAGAGTGCAATCGGGGGGCTTCTAATACAGACCACAACCGCGCAGGTTGTTGGCGATAATCACGTCCGTCACGGCGTCGAAAACGAATTGAATGTTGGTTGTGTCGGTGGCACAGGTCATATGGCAGTAAATTTCCTTCTTGGCCGACTTGTTCTTGGCCTCGAACTGGGCCTGGATGTAGGCCGAGGCCTCGTGATAGTCTTGTCGGCCTGAAAATTCCGGGTTTAGCGAGTTGAACGGGATTTTGAACATTTTTTTTTAATTAGGTACTACATGATGTGTGATTATCCGATTTTATTCAAATTTTTGGGTAGGAACTTTCTTCATTTATAGGCCTAAACTTTGATCGGTCATATGTTATCGGTTATGGCGAAAAACTTTGATTTTGAGGCGAAAATTATATTATACTAGACATTAGAATGAAATGGAAGTAACGGAAAGAGGGGTTCCTCGATTTTCTTGAAATTTTTCACACGGTTTCTAAGTATCCCATATACCAAGCAATTAAAATTTCAGCTCGCGATTTGCCTCCCCAGCTGAGATATTCAACAATCTTTTTGAGCGAGAGAGTACGTAAAATGAGGAGAGACAAAAAATTGGCTTTCGCTTTTCATATTTTGCTGTGAAAAAAATAGATTTTTGATAGAGCTAGATATCTTATATTTCGGCAATTTCAAAGCCTTTCACAAGGGGTACCTCCTTCTCAAATTCCAAAACACCCCAACCAATTTACTTACCATTATACTCGGGGAAGCAGACAGTCAACGGAGACTTCTTGATCTTCTCCTCGAACAAGTCCTTCTTGTTCAGGAAGAGAATGATCGACGTCTCCGTGAACCACTTGTTGTTGCAGATGGAGTCGAACAGCTTCAACGACTCGTGCATACGATTCGTGGTTTCGTCCTCGTGCAGCACTTGGTCGTATTCGCTCATGGCAACGCAGAAAATGATGGCCGTCACATCCTCGAAGCAGTGGATCCACTTCTTCCGCTCCGACCGCTGGCCTCCCACGTCGAACAGCTTGAAGTTGAGGTTTTTGAACGTGAAATGGACTTCAACAATACCGGTCGTTTTGACACGTGTCCTGAAAGAAGGGGGAGTTTAGGGGAGTCAAATTTGTGATCGGATAAAAGGTTTTTTAGTAGGCTGAAGCTAGGAGATTGGCTTCTTTGCTTAGTTAGGGTCGCCGTCCAAAGATTATTAGCCTGTTTTATGAGTTACTAGTTAGAAAAGTCTCAAAACGTAAGCATTCTATCTAAGGTGCAAAGAAATAAAAAAAATCAATCCTGGACAGGTTCATGTGGCCAGAAATGTTTCCAAATGCATTCCGGATGCAATAGAATGCATCCCTTTGCATCCCGCTCTAACCAAAGACGGTAACGGTCATAGAGGGATGCAAAGCGATGCATTTTATCGCGTCCAGGCTGAATTTGGGTCAAAAAATACAATCCTGTACAGGTCCATGTAGCGAAGTATCCCGGACGCGATAAAATGCCTCCCTTTGCATCCCTCTCTAACGAAAGACCGCATGGTCAGAGAAGGATGCAAAGGGATGCATTTTATCGCATCCGGGCTGCATTTGGGCCCGTTTCTTTCCACATGCTCCTGTCCACGAGCTTGGAGAGGTTTGGCTATCTGTAGCCACCCGGCACGCCACTCACCTGAGAATGTCCTGTTCGGTGGGCTGATAGTTGGGTTGGCCGAGGCGGTCGAGATCGTCGAGGAAGTATTTGGCCGAGTCGTTCAGCTGGTACTCGTTGGCGCGATTGAAGCAGTCCTGCACGCCGGAGTCGGCCCACAACCGCTTCATGGCGATGAGGAGGTCGTCGCTGAAGGGCTCCGTGTCCTCCATCCGCGCCACCACGTCCATGACGAGCTTGGCGTCCGCCTCGCGGTCCGGCTGCCCGAACGGCACCGACAGGTTGCCCATGGCGCGCAGGATGGCGACCAGCGACTGGACCGTATTACTGTACACCACCGGCTTGTACTGCTTGTAGTCTTCGGCGGTGAAACCCGATTCGTGGATAATCCTGGAAGAGGGAGTGGGTAAAATTGGGATTTTTTTTTTGGTTTAAAGGCACTCTAGGTCGGTAGTTATTCTTAGGATATCCTAGGCTAATCAAACTGCCACTTACTTCATCTGTTTGACAATGGTTGACTTGCCGGACTCTCCGGCACCGAGCAGCAGGAGTTTGATGTCTTTGGCGGCCTGGATTCCGTCCTCCTTCAGGTTCTTTTCGATCATCTTGGAGCGCTCCAGCGCGGCGCGCTCCTCCTGGCTCATGGTGCAGCCCATCTTGCCGAAACAGAAGCCAATCTTTTCCGAGTTCAGGATGGGCGGCGTTTTGACGACGTGTTACAAGCGGTCCGCAAACCGCCGATCGGCTTAGAAATTTTTCCTTGTTTTTGAGGCGACGACGTTCCGCGGTTCGAGGGCGCCGAATTCCGCGTGGCGAGGACCGGATGGGGTCGGCTGGCTGCGCGTTCCGTTGGCTGGGCCTCGACCGAGCTGTTGCGGGTCTGGAATGGGGAGAATGGTAAAGCTAGGTCCTCAATATGTGCCTCGTTTTTTGACAAATAAACTATCAGTCTGTCGGGAAAATAATGAGATCTCTGTCGCATCGAAAATCGTGTCGCTGAAGTGAAAAGAAATGTGATTTTATCGCAACTTCATTTTCTCGGCGATGCGATTTTCCATGCGACAGAGTGCTCATTATTTTCCCGACAGACTGATATAGTCATCACGCTCGAAACTCACGAGAAATGTGGCTTTTCGCTAGAGCAACGACGCCGACTTCAACCGTATTGTATTCGATATCAAACCAGTGTCGAACTTGCACGGCCCTTTCGTTCGCGGGTTTCCAGCTTCTTCTTCGTCCACGCCAAGAGCACTTCCAATTCACCTGGCGCACCTGAAACACAAAGAAGGGGATTAGTCGCAAGTGCTAGCGGCTTTTGCTTTGTTTTCGGTCATGCGTCGAGTTGCTCGGCAAAAGTTGGTCAGAAGTGTCACCCAGGGGGCTAAATTTTAGATAAGGACAGGTGATCTTTTTTGTGGTAAGAGGGGAAAGTGCATATATCACTCTGTCGGGAAAATAATGAGCATAATTTCGCGTCGAAAATCGCATCGCCGCTCATTATTTTCCCGACAGAAATATATAAAATATATTTAAAAAACTCAGCAGGTTGATGCAAAAAGGCCTCAGGCAATAAATAAAAAAGGCTTTAGAGTCCATTAGATTTATTAATTTCGCGCAGAAATCTCAAAATCCTCGGAAAACCCGCCATTTCCCATCCAGAATTTTCCACAAAAGTTTGTGGTTTTTTTCTAGTGTAATTTAGCCTACAAATCTTTCATCTGTTTTCGGCGACCTCAAAATACCCCCAAAAACTGTCGCAAGTGCCAAGATACCGACCCAAATCCACAAACAGTTCGACGCAAATGCCGGCGTTCGCATCACGGCGCTACGCAGACGTTTCACGTGAGCGCATTAATTAGCCCTGAAGGCGCTAATCCCGCGTTAATAATCTTCTTGTTTATGACATTTGCTGAGAGATTGTAATTAAAATATAAACAAGATAATTAATTTAAAATAAAAATTTAAATTCGTTTCCGCGAAATGGGATGCATTACGCGAGTGCAGCGGCCCTAAAAGGTTTCTAATCCGCCCTGCGGGCATTTAATCCCAGGTTTTCGGGGAGGACTTTATAGGGCAAGGGAGACGTCCGAAACGTACAGAGTTGAGCTTTTTGAACTTTAGTCGGTCATGTGTTAGCTGTTGGAGCAGGAAAGTTTGACTTCGAGGCGAAAATTATATTATACTCGACATTGGAATGAAATGGAAGTAGCAGAAAGGGGTGTTCTTAGATTTTCTTCAAAATTTTTACACAGTTTGTAAATATCCTGTGTACCAATCACTAAAAATTTCAGCTTGAGATTTGAAACCCTAGCTGAGATATTCAACAGTCTTTTTTAGCGAGAGAGTACGCAAAATGAGGAGAGACGGTCAGAGAAAATTAATTTTTTACTTATTGCCTTTTGAAAGTCCCTCGTAAAGGGCTATGTTTCTGTGAAAACATAATCAGAATATCCAAAAATTGGAATGCTCTCCTATTGCAGCCAAAAATTTATATTACACTAGACATCAAAGCAAAATTTCCCAAAAAACTCCCAAAAAATCTCAAATCTCCTCACCTCTCGGATCAAAACTGACTCTGCGTGTGTGCCGAGCGTCTCATAAATACTAGTCTTCTATGTGTGAGGCGCCGGCCAAGACGTCCAGAACGCGGGGCTGTGGCCAAGCTTGAGTGGAGGGGAAGCTGCCGGTTTATTGGTCGCCACGCGACACTGCTGGTCTTCGTGAGTTGTTTGTTACCTGAAATGGAAAGAGTGAGTGATGTAGGCTTTCTCGGGAAGATTTCAGCAAAATATCGCGGAAATTTCAAGGCGAAATTGGGATTTTTTGAAAATTGTCAGGAAAATGGGGGTAGTGGGGAAAGGGGGTAAAATTAATGGTGTTTTCGGCAAAAATCGGAAAGGAATTTAGTGGACATTAATTTACAATGAACCGTATACAAGCAGTTTACATTTTTTTCGGCTATTTTGTGAAAAAAAACTGAAATTTTTCGAAAAATTGAAAAAAAAATTAAATTGATTTTTTAAAGTGTAAAATACGTAAAAGCAGATCTGGGCTTTCATGGTGTTCTCATGAAGCCATTCTGTAGCCAGAAGAATCAAGAAACCCCAAAAAATTTGGGAAAAAACAGGACTTCCGGTGCAAAACCGCTCGGAGAAAGAGTTGACCCAAAAAAGGGAATTACGAAAATTGGGCAAGTAGCTTCGGCACTCGAGGGCCCCCGCTTCTCGACTGCTTATCCCCCCTTCAATTCTCGCGCATTACTGAAACCAGGCGTCGATTACCCGAGCGGCGGCCGGGCCTAATCCCGTCTGGGAAATCGGGTGGTGCGTTCGGCCGGCGGCCGGCCGCGGCCCGCTGGGCCCGACTTTTGAATTCGTTTTTGGGGCGGAGGAGTGAGTGAGGGGGGAGAACGCGACCGAACCACCGCGTTGGGGCAAGACGAAGAAAATGGCGGAGAAAATTGTGCAGCCACTCTCTTCGACTCCCGCACACCGTGGCCGCGGGAAGGCCGCGGAAAGAAAGAAAGAGACAAATTGAAGCCCCCCTCCCCCCATCCGATGCCCGCGGCCCAAACACGGCCCCACAGCGCAAGAGAGGGGATGATGAACAAGGAGAAGACGGAGATGACGTTCCCCCGCCGCCGCCGCCGCCGCGACTTTTCTGCATAAATGGATATTGTTAAGGGCGCGTGAAAACACCAAAAACAGTCCGAGTTGGGCGAGCTGTAGCCCGTAGCTGGTACCCAACGTTCTTTAGTGACTAGTAGCTGTTAAAACTAGATGATTTAAGCTTCCAAACACACAAAGAATTTTTGGACTACCTTTTTTCTGAGAGCCACAGCAGCTATATTAAGTTAGATCATCAAAAATCAAAGAGCTTCCGGAAAATGGCTAAAATATGAAGGTTCAAAAAAAGTTACAGGATATAAAAGGTGCACAATGATCAACCATACCCCAAGGATAAAAACGTAGTGGCGGAAATCTTTAAAATACGTCCTCTCCCTCCAATACCTCCAATAATGTCTGGAACAAAAAAAATCCCAAAAAAAATCTCGATTTCCTTTAAAATCCCCCATCAAAAAAGACAAGTAATCGAATAATACAAGATAAAACGAGAGAAAAATGAAATATTGCCCCAGGCGGTAAACAAAAATCCCTGCGAAAAAATCGAAAAACCCCATTTTTTCGACTTTTTTTTGAAATTTTCTGATGCAAATGGCTAAATTAAGGTAAAATACGCGGAATTTCGGCTTCCTGCTATACACCTCAATATCTGATTAAAATTTTATGAAGATCCGGATCCACCATGACCACTGATTTTTCGCACCCCACGATGACGTCATTGAGGGCAGGGGAACGCCGTGTGTAAACAGCGGGTACAACCGGCATTTCCGGTGGGCTGGCGTGCTTATTTATTGTGTCAGAATGCTCAATGAAGCCTTGAGGGGTTCTCATTGGCCATTTTCGTGGTATTTACTGCCCGCTTTTTTGGGTGGGATATAATAAAAAGAGTCTCTTCGATGGCGCAAAATGGGGGGAAAAGTCGATTTTTGGCGAAAAATTTGAATATTATGCAAATAACAGAGCATTTTTTGGGTAAAATACGAATTCTTTATAAATGGTGACAGTGAAAACTTTTTTTTTGTCATCAAAAAATCCCATTTTTAGCTATAAAACAGCAAAAAAAATCGAAAAAAAATCGTTTTAGTCATCAAAAAAAAATTGCATGCGATCATTCGAGCTGTCGCAAATTACAAATCGGAAAGAATTTAGAATTTTGAGGACCATGTTGATGATTCCACGCCATTACTCATCCCCTCCCCATATTCGGAATGAAACAAAAACAAAATCCCCGCGAAAACATTTCCGTCCCGAAATTCGCCGCAATTCCACCGGCGAAATGCCGCAGGGCGTGCGTAATTAGTGGACATCATAATTGCGGGTTTCGCGGGCTGAACGGTCTGCAAAGGAAATGCGACATAATAAGGGAGAAATTCGAAGATCCGGGCGGGGGGGGGGGTTTCTGAATGCGGGGAAACCAAATGGAGGTGGGAGAAATGGGGTAGCGGCCGAAAGCGGGGTAACACTAGACCTTCCCGTTTAATATGCAAAAGTAGCGTAGTGAATGGGCTTGCGAAACGTGCTAGTTTGGGGAATCTACAATTCTCTTCAACCAAGATATTGGCGCTACAAAATGGGCTACTTTTTTAAGATTTTGGACGTAAAAGTTAAGATGGCATTCCAAGAAATCTAGCGGACAACTGAACGTGCTTAAGTTGGGATAATATGGCTATTGAAGCAAAGTGTCGTTGTGATGAGTATTGGCCATATGGCCGCTCTGGATCCGAAGAAATCGCAAAAACTTTGAAAAAGCGGCTCGAAGAAGTCCACTTTTTTCGAAAGCGGATTGTCGATATTTTTGGATGACCAAAATACCGGATATCCGATGTAGGACGAAAGCGGAGTATGTGTAGTATCTACTACTACATTTGCGCGCAGAAACTATACCGATCACGCAGCGAAACGGGCGAACGCTCTAGGTGGCATCAGCTGATGTCCATGGATAACATAAAAGCGTCGGATTTCCAAATATTCCCACAAAGCGACGCAAAACGCCTCCGGCATGCGGGAAGCGTGTTGTTTGGCGGACCCAAACAACACGGATCGACGCCGGATCCGGTCGGCAAATCATCGATAATGAAGGCAAATAAGCGAGTGGGGGGCCCGGTTACTGAGTGAAAAAACATTTTCCGATAGACTTGATATAAACGAACGAAAAACTGGGGGCAAGAGCGGAGGGGCCGCAGGGGTGGTGTGGGGCAGTCAGTGGTGGTGTGCAGGGCGGAGAAGGCTTCTGTGTGCTTCTTCAGCGTGGCGTCGTCTTCGGGAGAGCGGGCCGCCGCCATCGTCCGTCTTCGCCGCCGCCGCTTTTCTGCATCTTCTTCTTCCTTGGCCGTTTTCGGGGGCAAAGCGGCGGCCCAAAAGCGAAGCGGCCGATGGAAGACGATGTGGAGAAGAAGACGCTGAAGTTGAGGCCCTCTCCCCCGCACCGCCGTAGCGGTGGTGCGGCCGAATGCACGGTGCGTATGTGCGGAATGGGGCCGACTTTCGAGAGGCTTTTTTGGGGCGACGGAATCGCAACAGAACTATAGAACTTTGTTCAGCGATAGATAATGATCTGATATTGAATATAGAATGGCTAGATTGAAGGTGCCTCCGGCTACAAGAAAATTCTGGGCCGTGCAAAGAAAAAGGTCCAAATTTGAGTGCACTGTGCAAAAAAGGTTATTCCAAAAACACTAGGCTTACAATCACAGCAAAATGATATGTAAAATACGTAATATGCATTCATGTGTTGAATTCATATTTCAAAATTTCAAAAATCTACATACAACGCCTCAGGGCGCAAAAATCCCAAAAAACGAGAAACAAAAGCCATAGAGAGCGACGTTTTGCCTGAGGCAAGAGAGCGCAGCAGACGACAAAATCGGCCATATGTGGCCATAGCGTTCGCCCGCATGCGCTATATACGCACCGCAAATGTATTCTGAATGCATCAGTGCGGAGGGAAACACAACGCTTTTCGTGGGGCGCAGAGAAAAGTCGAGGGGGGCAAGTGAAGGCGAATACATGGTCATAGTAACCAGCTGCACGCAGAAAACGGGACGGCATTGCGCGCAAAACGAGAGGGAGGCCGGACGAAGAGCGGCCCAACGGCCGAAACGCCGAAGAAAGCGAGAAATGGGGGGTCAGGGTGCGTTGCCTTTTTCGGGGCAAGGAAACGAAAATCAATAGGGACAAAAAAGCGGCCTTGTCGCCGGCGAAAGGAGGAAAATTCTGGGGGGCTTGGACACGCCGGCGTTTGGCCAGAAAAGGAGCCCAGTTTGGGGGGTTTGGCGGCGCTCTCTCTCTCTCTCCGTCGCTCTTTCCTCGCTCGGGAAAGCCGGACCGACACTCGGCGCCTTATTCCCTGCCCGACTTTCCGCCTCTCTGCCCGCTCTCTCGGCGAAGCGCCGGCAATCGGACGACGACTTAGGGGGCGCCGCCGCTTGGCCTTATCGGAAAAGAGAGAGAAAGCGAGAGTTTCGGGCCCGTTCCCTGGGGGCAGAAAAGACGGCAATTTCGCTGGGTCCGTCTCTAACCGCCCTCCCCGAAACGAATGGTCTTTGCGCCACAACAGAGGGACCTTTTGTCTTTTCTCGTTGACAATTTGGGGTCCAAATGGAGGTGGAAAGAAGGCGTTTTTGAAAGTTGCGGAAATTTTGGAGAGACTTTTCGAAAAATTCGAAATTTTTGAAAAATAAAAAATTGAAAAAAATGAAAATTAAAAAATCAAAAAAATGAATAAAAAATATCGCAAAAATAGTAAAATTCAGTCAGAATTAGTTACTAATGCATTCGCAGAGTAGTTAGAGTGGTTTTTGCGACTGCACTGTGCAAAAAAAAATTTTCTTTGCACTGTGCAATTTCTTGCTTTTTGCACCGTGCAATTGGTTTTTTTGGGATGTCGCTAGCACCCTGAATTTTTCTGCACAGTGTAACCGCCAAAAATTAGACTAGTATGACCCGTATTCACCATTTTTTTCGAATTTTTCAAAATTTTTTTTTATTTTGAAAATTCAAAAAATTTAAAAAATTATTTAAAATGAATTTTAACAGTAATTTTAAGCCGTATTTTACTCGAAAATGCAACAACAAAATTTGTTTTACCTCTTTAAAAACAAAAAATCCCAAAATTCCGGAAACTTCCAAACTCCCCAAAACCCAACAAAAAATGACGTCATGTAAACCAATATCCAAAAAAAAATTTTTTTGAAAGGTGTGCGACCCCTCCATTCAACGCTAATTTGCATAATACGCGATCAATTTATGCGGCGGTTCCCACGAAAATTGGTGGGGTTGTTTTCGGCCGCGGGGGGCCGCCGCTCTCCTCGTTTCGCCCGGCCTCTCCGCACTTCCGGTGACGCAATCGCCCTCTTCCTTTCTCTCGACCCACTCCGGTAACCGCGTTGTGGCTGCGGCCCAACCTTTTCCCCTCTCTTCCCATTACTTTTTCTCTGGCCGCTCTCTCGACGCGCCGTGCTCTCTCGGCGGATGGCCGGCGGGCTTGAAATTGACTTGGGCTTAGAGCCGCGGCCAGATGATTTCCGAGGGATAAAAATTTTTTAACATCTCGTCGCGTTCTCTGCCCGTCTCGCCGGCTTCCACAATGCCTCAAATGTCTCGTATTTTAGGGTGTTTTTGAGGAGAAAGAAATTGAAAAAACAATTGTAAATGATTGTAAAATACGTGATTACTCATATCGTCTGTCTTTTAGTCTGTAAAAGTAAGTAAACAGTACTGTAAAAACCGTTATTTCCAAAAAATTCCAAAAATCGCAAAAAATCCTAAAAAATCACATTTTAAGGTGAAAATACAGTATCCAAGAATTTTTAAAATACAACTATTGACATTGGGCGTATTTGTATCCGTTAAAATTAAAATTTCCCAGTAAAACATTCCTTTTCAGCCAAAAATCTCCACAAATCCGAAAAAAACGCTTACATTTAAAAAAACGCGAAATTACAGTACCCCCAGGTACCCGAATCTCAAAATCCGAGTGCTACAATACAGCTTACATCCCACTAGACCCTTTTCCTTGCATTTGGCTCCCTCTCCGCCGCCATATCACTCGCTGTTTCATCAACTTTCCGCTACGTCTGCGCGCTCTCCCCACCTCCAATACTCTCTCGGCGCGCCCTCAATTTCATTCAAATTTGGCTTTGCGGGGAAGAAGAATGTAGTTGTAGCCAATTTTCCATTTTTTATTCTGCCTCTCTGCCCGCTCTCGGCCGCCGCGGCCCAATGTTTCGGCCGCGCTCTGTCGTCCCCCCCGAAAAAAAATGTTGGGGGCCGAATGTTTGTGGCCGACGGAGAATTGGCTTATTCCGGCCCCGCGACAAACTATGTATGGGGCAGAAGGCGGCAAGGCGAGGGCGCTCTCTTCGTTCCGCGCGAAATTTCCCCCCGAATCTCTCGGTTTTGCATGATATTCGGCGGGTTTCGTTGGGGTTCTCTCCGTTTTCCGTTGTGTCTATGGGGTTTTCGGAGGGATACACTTTGTTTTGACCACTATTTTAATTTTAAAAGATTCAGGAATTTTTTGTAAAATACGGTTTTTTCGGACCTCTGAAAAAGCTATTTTTTGATCAAAAAGTATAAATTTTTCGCAAAAAATAGTTAAATCATCCATGTAAAGCCCGAAATTCCAGCCTGCTCAGTAATATTCCGCCCTTGTGAATCAAAAAATTTTGATTTTTTACAATAAAATCCGGACTTTTATTTAAAAAATTTTCAAAAAATGTACTGCTCAAAATCATCGGAAAATGGACGAAACAACAGAGCATTTCATGTCCATAATAAATCAATAATTCATCATCCCAAAAGCCCTCAGGGCGAACGAAAATAACGCTCGCTTTTTGCACGGTGCGGGGTCAAAAAATAATTCTTGATTTTTTTCGTCATGGATAACATAATTTGATGAAAAAAGTGTGCCATAAGAAGAAAATAAAATGGTGAAAGTAATGGCGTTCGTATTTTACCTTAAATTATGATTTTTCTCCCCGAAAAATTTGAAAAAAATTTCAAAAAATCATCAAAAATTGCGTAAAATTTGCATAGCTCGCCACGCCCGCGGCTATGCAAATTTGTCCCCATAAGGTTGCATAGTACACTGTTCAAGTCAGTGCGATGGGATTAGCATTCCGGGTGGAGAGGGATGAGCCGCTTCCCTTCCGTTTCGGCCGCCTTTTTCGGGGCCGTTCGTCGCGGAACTTTGCGCCGAAAATAGCGCGCTTTGTTGTTCGGAGAGGGAGAGGGGTCAGATTATGCGCTGGTATTAACCGCTCGCCTACGACGGAGAGGGCAGAAATTTGAAATTTGAGGAAAAGGGAGATTCTGGAAGGTTTGCAGGGAAACTGTGGAAATTTGGGAAGCTTGTGGAGCTTTCCAGATATGGAATTGTGCCAGATTGGCGCCATCGTATTTTACAATTCTTTTCTAATTGAAAAATATGTTTTTTTGAAAAGATATATATACGTCAGCAATGGACCGTGGTTAAATGTAATTTCCCGTGGCCGATGGACTAAAAAAATAGCAGCAACACTACCACACTACAAGACAACTCATATTCCATCACTATTCCAAATATCAAGTGATTTTAACGATCTGCCAAAAGCTCACAATCAATACAATCATCTTATGTATATATTACAATAGTCCCCTTAAAGCAGAAAAAATACCTAAACTGGCAGTACTATTTACCAAACACACACATAACCGTGATATGTTCAAAATATTTCAAGTCAAAAGTAATCCTTCACCATTGTACAGTCAAATTCTGAAGATCATCATATCGATGAACCTAGTATAATATAAACCACCGTTTGCCGCATAAACCGTATAACATAGGTATTTCGCCAGCAGCGGCTTAGAAAAGAGCTCATACACAAACTATAATCCGAATGTCAACTGATTACAGTAAGTTTCCAGCGGATTACAGCCAAATCCCCGAGAACACCCGTTTCATAACCTAGTGTAATATAAGACGTCGTTTGACCCTTGAAGTAGGGGAAAATCATATATTTCGTAATTTTTTTCTAATAACAAGCTCAATAGCTACAAATATTCCTAACATCAGCTCGTTATAACTAATTTTCACCAAGTTACAGCCCAATTTTTAGAGATCATCCATTTCCCAACCTAGTGCAATATATGCAAGATGTCATTTGACCCCGACCGAGAAACAAAATCATTCAATAAATGTCTTTTACAAGAAAAAACTCAGTAGCTACACCTATTCCAAGCATCAACTTGCTACAACATATTTTTGCGAAGTTATAGCCAAATTACGAAGATCATCCATTTCACAGCCTAGTGCAATATGTCTAAGACGCCATTTGGCCCTTCACCTAGAAAACGTCATCTAGTGCAATACTTTTTTCTAAGAAACAAGTTCAACAGCTACATATATTCCAAACATCAGCTCACTATAACGAATTTCCGCCAAGTTACAGCCAAATTTCGAAGATCATCTATTTCCAAACCTAGTGCAATATGCCAATTCCTACTTCGTCTTTCGAAAATCTTACCAACACCTCTCATGCCCGTTTTGTAGGCTATGGAATGGAAATAGGATGACTATAAACACCTCAGCACACTCGAAACACACAGTAATAGTTGTAGAACACTACAACTTTAACAGTAATTTTGGGATAAAGTTGTAAACTGCTACAATCTTCGGAAACTTGTAGCTAAAAGGTGAAATCGAGTACAAAATGGAAGCGGAGAGCAGGGTGACATCAGGAAATGTAGTTTTAGGAGGGTAGTGTATCTGAAAGTAAGGGAGTGTTATTGAGTGTCGAGAGCAAGGCGAGATATTTTATTCTGGCACGGGGAACACGAGGGGAATATAAATATGCAAATAAATAAGAGTAAACAAACAAAAAAGGTTTAGTGTGTGCTTTACACATCATTATTGGGTTGTTTCTACAATCGGTCGTGGTTTTTTTTAGGGTTAAACGGAATGCCAAAATTGGCGGGAAATTTGAAAATTTGAAAATAATGAAAAAATTAGCCTATCAAATATTCATTATTACGTTTACTAAGCAGTTTTGTCAAGTTCTTGACGCATTTTGGGCCCTTGGAACACAATGCCAAGATTTGGCGGAAAACTAAAAATTCAAATTTTTAAAAAGTCAAAAATAGAAAAAAGGTAGTAAATTTTACGAGGAATATGTCTGATTCGTCTACAATTTTTTTGCCAACTTTAGAACTCCTAAAACATAATGCCAAATTAGGCGGGAAATGTCAAATTCAAAATGTTTTCCTCAAAACTCCGCCCACTTCCCCGGCTAAGTGCTTAGAAACCGACGGAAATTGCAAATGACAACTACAAACCGAATCCCGAGCCAAACATCCGGCGAGTCATCGCTGGTAATACGATTGAAGCCCTCGTATACTATACAACAAAATAACATGTAAATATCACGAAATCCGAAAAATTAGCAGAAAGATATGTGGAGAAGGGAGGGAAACCCATGTTGTTTCGCTCTTCTCTCTACATCCGGTACTACTGTACTTTGCACGCGGTAAAAATAGCATGCGGATTATTCGAATTAGACTAATTCGAGGAAATCCGATTGCAAGGTGCCGGAAGCGTGGTTTAGGGAACCATAAAGGCCAGATATTTGTTTGCTTGTATTGTAAATAGACAATCTAGAATTTTAAGAATGAAGATATTCGAAAATTCAAATTTCCCGCCAAATTTTAGGAATTCTTGGCATTCTGCAACAAGCTGTAATCTTTGTGCAGACATTGCATAAATTGTCTGAAATGATCTCCTAGAATCACAAAGATCTGATTTTATCGTGAAATTAGTAAGGAATTATTTGAAAATTCAAATTCCCGCCAAATTTCAAAAATTCTTGGCATTCTGCAACAACCCTTAATTTTATCATAATTTGTATATAAATCGTGGCCAATGTCCTGGACGACCTAAAACTTCCATTTTTCAGCCGAAATTGCCAAATAATTGTTTGAAAATTCAAATTTCCCACCAAAATTCCAAACGTTTCAAAAACCCAAATCTCAGATTTTTGAGTAAACACGGATAGCACAATGAAAATTACGTCCTTATACTTCAGGGTAAATCCTCAAAACTGTTATACGCTCCACTTCTACATCCATATTACACTTGGGAAAAGCGTAGGCGAAAACAAAACTTGGATATTAAAATTTTATTAAAAACGAGGCCTCCGAATTTCTTCAACTGTAAAATTTCGGATGGAAGCTTTCAATTTCCCAACATTTTTTGCCGTTTTTCGCATGGCCAGAGGAATTTTTAATTTTGAGAAAAATTGGGGAAAATAAAAAAAATAAAAAAAATGTTGAAAAAGGAGGAAAATCAGATCACAAAAAAAAATATTTTTTGTTGAATTTTTGGCAGAAAAAAAAACTATTTTTTGGTCAAAAATTTTAGAAAAGTTCGGAGTTTTTTTCAAATTTTTCGCACTTTTTTATGGATAAAATTTCCTGTACAAGTGTCAAAACAAAGAGGAAAAAACAAAAAATAATTTGTGGCTGACAAGCCCCGCTCACGCGGGCCTTGACGCCGCTGTGCGCGCAAAGGTTGCCCAACGTGAAGTTGACTTGATCGCATGCACTATAGTTGATCGTCCAGGCCACGCTTCGCGTGGCCAACAACGCGCTGACGCGCGTTATACTGCCTCAAGCCCGGCACTTCTGTTAGCTAAGGGCCGCGCGCCAGCGCTACACCTCCCGTCAACAAAAGGCCGCGCGCCAGCGCTACCTTTCATCAGCTAACTTTGACCAATCAACTGTTCTTAGGACTTTGCCTCGGCCTTCGGCCTCGGCACAATGCGCTACAACACTCTACAGCAACAT